CAGGCCAGCAGGGGGGTTAGTGAGGGATAACCAAACGACTGAGCAGCGGGCTGTGTGGGGTGATCAGGTCAGCAGGGGGGGGGGGGGGGGGCGCGGAGAGCAGTGAGGGGTGACCAAATGACCGAACAGTGGGCTGCGTGGGGTGACCAGGCCAGCAGGGAGGGAAGTTAGGGGTGTCCAGGCTAGTGGGGGGGGGGAGGGCCAATGAGGGGTGACTAGGCCAGCAGATGGGGGCAGTGAGGGGCACAAGGCTGGCAGGGGAGACTGTTGGGGGCAACCAAGCTGGCAGGGGGTAGGGGACCAGTAAGGGGTGACCAGGCTGGCAGGGGTGGAGTTAGGGGCGACCAGGCCAGTGGGAGGGCAGATGGGGCAACCACGCTGGTGGGGAGGGGACAGTTGGGGGTGACAAGGCCATGGGGGGGGGGCAGTTAGTGGTGATCAGGCAGGCAGGCAGGTGAGCAGTTAAGAGCCAGTGGTCTTGGATTGTGAGTTTAGTGGGATTGGGCCTAAACTGGCAGTCAAATATCCCCCCGAGAGGTCCCAGATTGGAGAGGGTGCAGGCTGGGATGAGGGCCCCATGCACGAATTTTGTGCACCAGGCCTCTAGTTATAATACAAAAGAGGGATGTTACCCTGGCTAGGTGGTGCAATTTGTCGGAGAGTCTTTTGGTATACACCAAAAGGTTGTGGGTTCGATTCCCTGTCAGGGCATGTATGGAAGGAAACAGATTAATGTTTTTCTCTCACATCAATCTCTCTCTCTCTCTCTCCATCCTCCTTCACCACTTCCTCTCTTTAAAAAAAACAAACAATAAAACATCCTTAGGTGAGGATTTTTAAAAAAGGATGTAAAAAACAAACAATGATGTTTCTTTAATCTCATTGCTTGTAGCGACAGATCAGTGACCTGCTGGAGACTTGGGTCACATACACATATTATATAATAAAACTAGAGGCCCAGTGCATGACATTTATACACTCGGGGATGGAGGGGACCCCTCAGCCCGGCCTGCACCCTCTCACAGTCCAGGAACCCTCAGGGGATGTTTGACTGATGGCTTAGGCCCACAGAGAGAGTGCCTAAGCTGCCAGTTGGACATCCTTAGCATTGCTGTGGAGTCTGGAGAGGCTCCCGCCACTGCCACTGCACTCCCCAATCATGAGCCCAGCTCCTGGCTGAGCAGCATTCCCCCTGTCGGAGCTCACTGACCACCAGGGAACAGCTCCTGCACTGAACATCTGCCCCCTGGTGGTAAGTGCGTGTCACAGAGACCTTTCATTCCACTGTTCAGTCAATTTGCATATTAGCCTTTTATTATATAATATTACCTTCCCAGTGCCAAATTAGATAGAAGCTAACATTTAGAAATGTTCTGATTTTATAAATGAATACCAAAGTTTTAGAATCCTATATAATAAAAGGCTAATATGAAAATAGACCGAATGGTGGAACAACAGAGCAACCCAACAACAGAACAACCAGTTGCTATGACATGCACTGACCACCAGAGGGCATGTGCAGAACATGGCGGGCATTGGTCGTGGCAGGATGTTGGAGCAGGTGAGTGGGGGTGCCAGACCAAGGCGGGGTGACAGTCACTGTCATCAGGGCGAGTCTCTGGTGGTTACTGAAAATTCTTTGCTCCCATGCATTGCAGTCCCACCTGGTGCTGTGTTTGGAAAAAAAGAATATCAGCATTTTTCCATAGGAGGAAAAAATTTCAGTTCTTAGTTTTGTAATTCTGCTCCTTATACTATCTTTGTATTTTTGGATTCTTTTTTTCTTTTTGCTTTTCCAGTTGGGTGTTTTTTGCTTCTTTGTATTTCAAATTTTTGACTTGATTCTTGCAATCTTCTAGTCTGCTGTTAGATCTCTGTATATTATTTTTCTATTTCAGTCAGTGTATGTTTAATTTCTATTTGTTCCTTTTTCATATCCTTGAGGGTTTTACTAAATTTATCGGCCTTTTCTAGAAAGTTCTTGAAAAACCTTATAACCGTGATTTTGAACTCTATATTCAGTCATTTGCTTTCCTCCTTTTCTTTCATTTGTGACCTGTTTCTTTGTCTCCGCAGTTTGGCTGCTTCTCTGAGTTGATAGAGTGGCTTTGTGTGCGAGGTGTCCTATAGGGAGAAGTGGCTCAGCCTCCCCAGTTACCTGACGTGTACGTTCTTGATGCACCCCTTTGTGGGCTCTGTGCACAGTCTTGTTGAAGTTAAGCCTTAATTGGTATCACTGGGAGGAATTAATCTCCAGGCCAATTGGCTGTGAGGATCAGCTGTGTCTACAATGGGAGAACTTCTGTGTTGGAGGCACCCTTATGAGGCAAGACTTGCTTCAGTGGGGCTTTGGTGCTCACTGAGTCTGCCCCCTGAGTGTGTCCCTTATGGATCTGAAGAGTTGTAATTTGGATGGTCCCACTCTGACCCTGGGTACACTGGCTCTTGGATTTTCAAGGAGGTGCTACTTTAGCCTCTGCCTGAGGCCACCCAGAAGCAGCTAATGAAAGATCTGCAGATTCCTCTTCTTTGTTTGGGTTTTGGAGGTGCCCAGATGAGGCCCAGCTGTGAAGCAATGCAGGCTGCTGTGTGGCCTTGGGCCTTCTTTTGGATGTTCTGGGTCTCACTGACTCAGCTGCAGTTTGTTAGGTAAGTTTAGAATTCAAGGGACCAGGCTAATCATAAGCAAAAGCCTCTGTGCTCAGCTTGGATGGGGTGAAGTCTGAGGGCCGAGCAAGCAGCAATGTTTTCATGGGATGGGATCTCAGGGAAAAGTAAACAGCAATGGCTTCCCATCAGCCCTGCCCTAAGAGGCCCTGGGTCTCAGTGTCCCACAGTAATCGCTGCAAGCACCTCTGAGAGAAAGCTGCCCTCGAGTTTCACCCGCTGCCAGACAGTCCAATTTCTCCCCATGTGAGTCTGGGTCCCAGAGTCTTGCCCGGAACTGGAGTTTGAGCAGTTGGGATCTTTTGTCTCCCTACCGATTGGGAAAGCCAGTTGCGCACTCAGTTGCCAATCCTCTCTGTGCACGTGCCTCTGTACCTCTGCCTTCCACAGCCCTATGAGTCTCAGTGTGCTTTTCTTTTTCCTTCTAGTTGTAGAATTTCCACTCAGCCAGCCTTCCTGTGGTTCTGGATGATATATGTTTTGTCTTTTAGTTGTAGTTTTGAAATTGTTGTGTGAGGCAGCAGTTCAGGTGTTTACCTATTCTGCCATTTTGTTTTCCAACTGTATGCAGATTTTTTCAATAACTATGTTGGAAAATTTTTGGAGATTTTTCTTACTACTGTGAAGCAATTGTGTCAGTTAGGGTAGGCTACCATAAAGCAATCATATTGCTGGTGCTTTATTATCATTGCAGGAACTTATATCTGTAAATTAATAGGAATTTCTTTTTCACACTATCTTTTCATTTTTGGTACCTAGAGTTATTAATACATTAACATCTACAGTGTTTTGCATCATATAAGACAGTATTGATGTAGATACTGACAGATGATGTATCTTATAAACAGATGATTTGAACTTACAATATCAATATAGTACTATAAATATATTTATTTTTCCTTATGATTTTCTTAATAATACTTTTTCTCTATTGTAAGAACACAATATATAATACATACACAGTATGTAATACATTTACAAAGTGGACTTTCTTTACCGGTAAGATTTATGGTCAACAGTAGGCTATTAGCAGTTAAGTTATTGGGGAGTCAAAAGTTATACACAGATTTTTGACTGCCTGGGAGTTGGCGCCCTTAACCATGGTGTTGTTCAAGAGCTAACTGTATAGTACTTAAAATCAACTCCTGTATAATTATTACTGAAGTCTTTCCTTGTTAAAGCATGAAGCTTCCTATCAAATCAACTTATATATCTCCAATTCAAAACTAATTTGTCTTTGCCTGTTATGTTTGGTAGGATGTATATATATGTATCATCCGAAAAGTTTGTAAATTTTTTGATCAACCCTGATAATAAAGTTAAAAATCTTAAATCTATACATGGCAAGAAAAGTTAGTATTTTTGTTCTTAATTATTAAAACTTTTTTTTCCAGCATTTCACTGTTCTCTTTTAGATCACATAGTCATAACATCTAAAGGCCATAGATGGTATTTAAATCCTTATGTTTACATACCTAGAAGTCTTGCTTATGAAATAATAGATTTTTTTTGTTTGTTAATTTAGTGGCAATTTAAAGAAAATCCATACATAGTTTGAGGTGATATATAAAAACTTGCTTTAAGTATTGATGAGCCATATCTCTGTTTCAGTAGGAGATGTGTGTTCCTATACCAGCCTTGGGATTTGCTAGTGTGCTTCTTTTTTAGTGTAATAAGTTTGAGATTAAGCACTTGTCCACACTGTGGGATTATACAAATGTTTTTACTTTTCTTATTTTTACCATTGGTGTCACTAGTTAGTGCATGAAGCTATATGGGTTGAGGAAAAATGTAGTGCTTTTATGAACCATTGAATTTTCATCTGTGTCCTCATTTTTTGGACATATGAAATGGGAATGTAATTTTATACTCTTTTATGATGAAAAAAGAAAATGTATGCCCTACTAATTGTGGGATAAGTAAGGGTATTTTTTCTGTCATGAACACAGTGTCATTATCCTAGGTAGCTGGAAAAGTAAATGTTTTTGAAAGTATGATACAACTTTTCATACTTTAACTTTATTTACATATGCAGTTTTCAGAAACTTGCCAACAAAAACTTACATTTGGAGAGTGTGGTAGGCAAGTACTGTTTAGTGAGAAATGAGGTTTGTTCTTGAGTAATTATTCCATATGGATTAATGCAGCCTGGGTGGTGGTTAGAGAACCTTGGGGTTTGTTAAGCTCTATTTCTTCTAAGAGGACTCTTCTATCCTTGCAGACCACAAGTCTTCAAAAGTGTCCCAAAAGTGGTTATTTCTACTTTCTTCCCTTTAAGACTTGGCACACAAAGAGTTTTGTGTAAAAATGAAAAGTACAATTTCTCTTAACAGCTGTGACATCTTATGAAGATCTTGGACTCTTTGCATTTGGATTATGTGGAAAGGTAATTTTTTTTTTCCTTCTTGCTATTTCCAAAATTCAGAGAGGCATATTTTCCTTCACTTTCCAGTTAAAAAAGACAAGTATATATTAGGAGAAGACATTAGAGAAATAAAAGGAAATTAAAGTAAAGACAAAATGATGGGAACAGGAAGTGAAAGAGAAGAAATCTCTATATGCCCTTCCTAAAAATGCATCAATAAACTTAATTTAACACTTAAATATTTTAGTACTTTTCACCCTAATGAAGGAGAGCAATGACTTGGATAATTTTAAAATAGTAGCAGTGGTCTATTTTAGGTTTTCCGTATTAATTTTTATTATATTCTCTGAGTATATACCCATAAAGACAGGAGAAGAAGCATAGGATTAAAATGATACGATGACTAGCCCTAGCCAGTTTGGCTCAATGGATAGAGTGTCAACCTGTGGAATGAAGGATCCTGTGCTCGATTCTGGTCAAGGGCACATGCCCGGGTTGCAGGCTCGATCCCCAGTAGGGGAGTGCAGGAGGCAGTGGTCAATGATTCTCATCATTGAGGTTTCTATCTTTCTCTCCCTCTCCTTTCCTCTCTAAAATCAATAAAATATATATTTTTAAAAATTATATCATGACTGTATACAAAACAGCTAATTAGAAGATCATATTATTTAAGAGCTTATCAATGCTGAAAGATTTTGTAGCTATCTCATTTATAGGTGAGGAAATAAATGCCCAGAGAAATAGAGGGGCCTATTTGTCCCCAGTCACTTAAAGGACTCTAGACTAACTGCTTTTTCCTCCTCAGAATAAGAGAACTAACAGCAATATTTGTTGGGCATTAATTTGTGATAGATATACTAAACTAATTTAATAGGTAGGGGAAACACTGTCTTCCATAGGTGATCAGAAGGTAAATATTGTTAGTGCCGTAGTACTTTTTTTTTTTTTTTTTTTTAATTTCTCAAGAGCTAACATACTTCTAAAACCTATTTTCATGTTGGTTCCAAATAGGCCTTTTTATTTTTAGTTGTAAATCTTTTTTTTTTATGGTTTTGTATGTTTATTTTGTTTTTAATCTAAAAGAATACTATATATTTTTAGATGGCTGAACTAATTTATAAGAAGCAAGTCTAGAAGGAAAAAGATTTATGTAATAGGGAGAACACCTATATTTATATTCATATTTACTTGGTTGTTAAAGTGTTAAAGGAATAAAGTACAAAAGTGCAAAATGGAGAATACAATAATTACTTAGTACTCGAGGATAAAGGGTTTTGTTAATACTCTAGTAACAGTTTCTCTTTCCTAAAGGTCAGAATGTTTGCTAGAATCATGATCAGTTTCCTGCATTCAGTTTAACCAAGGAAGAAGAAAAGGTTATAAGAAAACTCCAATAAATTGAATAAGTTCTATAACATGACTCTAAGTATCATCAGTGTTATTTCCCAATGAAGAACATGGATTGTTGAGTCCCTTTCCCAGAACTCTAGAATATTTGCATTATTTTAATGTTTGCATCTGGTATGAAGTAGGCAGGTATACAGATAGAGGGCACTCCAAATAAGGAGTTGTTTGTCTGCCTTTTAATATTTCCTCTTCATTTTCACAATTGGGTTGAAACTTTCCTGTTACCTTCTTTCCAGATATAATATGGATAGTGATATTATATATGATAGGATAACATTGTTCTGAGAATTAAAGAATATTTTTGAAATGTTTTTTTGAAATTTTTAAGGAAGATATTTTGAATTGTCTCTAAATTGATTTATTTATTAATCAAACAAATGTTTTGAGCAAATGCCGTATGTCATGCACTGTGGTGGACAAGAAGATAGATAGATAGCCTTTGTAGATCTTAAATGCTAAAAAAAAAGAAGAAGAAGAAAACAACAGAAAAAATAATCACCAATAAGTTGATATTACTTTTTGCACAATATTAATAGAAAAGAAATTCCATCCTACCTAATAAAAGAGTAATATGCAAATTAACCATCACTCAACTCACAAGCCATGCCCAATAGCCACGCCCAATAGCCACGCCCAATAGCCAATCAGAGTGAGTATGCAAATAAACACAATCAAGATGGCTACAGCCACAGAGAGCAGGAAGGAGGCATTTCCCCAGCAATGGAAGAAGCCAAGCTTTCCACCTGCCCTTGCTGGCCTAAGCCTCCACTCAAGGCTACAAAGTTTCAGTTATAGAAGGTAAATCCAAACAGAAACAGGTGCCGCCACAGAGGGAACAGGAAGCTTGGCTCCAATCCAGGCAACAAAGTTTTAATTATAGAAACTAAATATATTACAGATACCAGGGCCTCCGCTTGGGTCACTGGGGGGCATAGCTGGCTTGCAAACCACCACAGGCCCCTTGCTCAGGCCTCCGCACGGCCCAAGGGAACCCCCACCCTGATTCAGGACACGCTTCAGGGCAAACCAGCTGGCCCCCACCCATGCACCAGGCCTCTATCCTATCTAATAAAAGAGTAATATGCAGACTGACCATCACTCCAACACACAATATGGCTGCCCCCCTGTGGTCAAAGATCCTGCCCCTATGTGGACACAAGATGGCCACCACAAGATGGCCAGCAGGGGAGGGCAGTTGGAAGGGACTAGGCCTGCAAGAGAGGGCAGTTGAAGGCGATCAACCCTGCAGGGGAGGGCAGTTAGGTGTGACCAGGCCGGCATAGGAGGGAAGGTGGGGGCAAACAGGCTGGCAGGAGAGCAGTTAGAAATCAATCAGGCTGGCATGGGAGTGGCTAGGGGTTGATCAGGTTGGCAGGCAGAAGCAGTTAGGGGCAATCAGGAAGGCAGGCAGGCGAGCAATTGGGAGCCAGCAGTCCTGGATTGTGAAAGGATTTTAAACGGACAGTCGGATATCCCTCAGGGAGTCCCAGATTGGAGAGGATGCAGGCTGGGCTGAGGGACTACCCCCCTTGCCCCCGTGCATGAATTTTGTGCACCGGGCCTCTAGTTATTATCTATGACTGAATGAAAGGTAGTGTTAAAAAATAGTTTTTTTCACAAATAACTTAATTTTGGAACTAATTTTTAAATGGGTTTATATGCAAAGTTTTTTTATTTTTATTTTCTGAAAAATGCGAGAAAGGCAATGACCACATCTTCAAAGACATGTCTCTAAATTTTCCTGTCATTAGTCCTGCTCTGCAGACTCCAAGGCCTCTAGGCCTCAGTAACTTAGATTGTTCCCAGGATAGGAACAGGCTGTGCCACTGATGGGATTCCTAGAAGGGTGATCTGTTTTCAATCGTGCAGGACTGCATGACCCTAGATAGATAGCCAGCTCCAAACATACATTGGGGGTGAGGTCCACCAAGATTTGTTTGAGCGATGGAAAGGCCCAAGTGGAGGCAGGATGTTTCTTCTGAGTACATCTGATTACCAAGAATGGATGAACTGCTGTCTTGAGTTTCCCAGGAGTCTCATCAATGATCACAAGCTAGCAGCCTACAGGTTGAACTTAGTCCTCAAGCATATTTTTGTTGTGTTGTTGTTCAGATCCTTTTTATTTTAACTGATTGCTAACTAAAAGTTACAAAATTTTAAAGAATTCAATTTTTTGACTTTTAGAAATAGGAAGATTTAGCTGCATTGGATCCACAGGCCCATATGCCAGCAACTAACCAGAGCTAAGTAGCAGCTGTCCATTTTGAGAGGGGAGTAGTTCACCAATTCTATATATTACTGATTTCAGAGGGGAAGGGAGAGAGAGAAAGACAGACAGAAACATCAAAGATCAGAGAGAAAAAAAAAAAAGATCAGAGAATCATTGATTCTCTTGTAAACCCCCCACTGGAGATCGAGCCTGCAACCCAGGCCGGACCAGAATCTCACCCTGGACCCTTCAGTCCACAGGCCAACATACTATATTCACTGTGTCAAACCAGCTAGGACAGATACTACAGACTTTATAGCCTCCTATTGTCTTACACTCAGCCCACTGCGTATTATTGAGTTTGACACGTTGCTAAATTTTCAGATGTGAGAATATATGGGCTCTAATGTTTTCTGCTCTAGATTATTATTCCCTGCGACAAGAGCTGTGGAAAGCCTTGATGTATGCCAGGATGATATATTCAGAAGACTGTATCGTTTCCTTTTAGGTAGTACAGCATTGGCAGAGCACACCTCAAGCTGTCTCAGTCTACCTACTAAAGCAATCTGGTAAACCAGTAAAAATGGAGAATGAGACCAGATAGATTCAATTTAAACTTTTTGGTACTTTGATAACCACTGATTACCAGCTTTTTAACACTTTTAACTGTTTAAAAATGACTGCCAAGAAAACTTTCAAAAGTATTCTTTTATAGTAACCATGGACCTATTAAAGAAAGGCTTTTTATGTAATGATTATTAGTTTTATGTATTACAAATGACTGGCAAAATTTATTTCAATTTCTCTGGATTTCTGCCTCTGTTTTTTAGTAATGATTATTGGATTTTAATAAAATACCAATCCTTTTGTATTATTTCCCCTTTCATCTTCTAAATACATTTGTTTTTGTATAGGTGGTGGTGGCAGGCACCATAATAATCCAGAATATTGGAGGTAAGCAGTTGAAAGTGCATGGCTTATGCATAGATGTGATGGAAATGATTTCCTCTTTTGGTTTCTTGCCTTACCACAGGACTAGCTGGGAACCTGAACCCCTGTAGTCACAGGGAGCCTTAGAAACCTTGCGTGTTGTCCTCATTACTCTCTTTTTGTGGGTTTTTAAGCAGCCTGCCTGCACAATAACTTCTAAATCAGTTCCAGGTAAACCCTTAATTTCAGTCTTGCTATTAGGCCTGCAACACACCTCTAAAACATTCACTTTCTGTAGTTGTGATAGTGGTGATGTACTATTTAGATACAGCAACCGGTGGTCTGTGAGGTCCGAAAGGCTGGTGACTGCTGGTTTAGAAAACTCTCCAGGTGATTCTGAAATCCTTCCCCTCCGCTTTTGTCCTAATCACCCCCATTAGCGGGGACTGCTTTGGTGGGAGTGGTGTTTTATGAGCTGTGAACATTCAGGCGTAGACAAACAGTGTCCTCTTACAGCAGAGAAAAATGACCAAATGGTTTAAAAAATAGACCTGAGAAAAACATTGTCATATTTATCTGTTATCTTGTTCCATTAAAAAAATCCCAATATCAAGAATGAAAAATTAGTGTTAATTAGAGATAGCTACACATTTAAATACAAAATATGGGAATTATATTTATATGTGTTGTAAAGAAGTTACATAGTGCTGAACATGTTTTCAGCATTGACTGGAGTTCTAAGTAAATGCTATTAGTTTAAAAGTAGCAATTTTCAACCTGTGCGCTGCATTTAAATTCTTGAATTTAAAAAATTCAAGAATTTTTAAAGCATGCAATACCTGGCTATTTAGTCAGGGTACTGACCTCTTTTCCCTTAGAATGTCAAATTAAAACAAACAAAAAACAAAACAAAACAACAACGGTGAACACAATCTGGTGTGAATGAATCAAAATTATACCTAATTTTTTGTCAGATCAGCAAAAAAATATTTTTTTTGATGTGCCTCAGAATTTTAATAATTACAATAGTTTACATGTGCCATGAGAAAATTGTTGGTTTAAAGGAATATACACAGAGAAGGTTGACATGCACTTTACGTCTTACAGAGGATGTATGGTCAGAGGAAATTTTAATCTTATTTCTTATATGTAACAGTTCAAAATAACTGAAAGATGACAGTTTTAATAAAATTCAACTCTGATACTTGAGATCTGAGCTATTTCACTTTAAGTATTATTCACCTGAAGTCTATCTTTAATGGGTTTCTTGATCAGGGAAAATATTAACATTCCCTTGGCTACATTTAGTGAGAGCTAAGCAAATTACCCAGGCTATCTTACCCTCCACCAAACACTTTATCATTCCATGTTACTGATGTGGTAACTAAGAAAAGAGATGAACCAAAGAAATTAAGTACTTACTAGAGGACCGGTGGGGTCCCTCAGCCTGGCCCGCACCCTCTCGCAATCCAGGACCCCTCGGGGGATGTAGTAGTGCGCAAGGTGGCAGGCTGCCAGGGAGGAGCTGGACCCTGGTCCTTGCACCTAGCTGCTCCCACTCATCCCAGCCCTGCTGCTCCTGCTGCAGCCGCTGCATTAGCGCTGAGGTGGAGACAGGAGAGGCTCGCACTCCCTCAGCTGCACTTGCCGGCCGTGAGCCTGGGATCTGGCGTCCATCAGTCAGGAGAATAGCGCTCCCACTGTGGGAGTGCACTGACCACAAGCTCCTGCGTTGAGCATCTGCCCCCTGGTGGTCAGTGCACATCATAGCGACCTTCGGCCGGTTGTTTGGCCGTTTGGTCACTTAGGCTTTTATATATAGAGAGAGGCATAACCCATAGACCCAGTAGTGTGGTGAAGACCTGGCAGCGGTTAGAGGAGTGGGGAGGGATAGGGGTTGAGCATAGAGGGTAAAAGGGTAAAGGGAGGGGGGGGGGAACATCTGTGATATTGTCAACAATAAAAACATATTTTTTTAAAAAACAGTGAGTGGCATAAAGAGCTTGCTCATGATCCACATAGCTAAGTTGTAAAGCTAAAGATTTGAATTGAGCTTAAGAGCCAAATATTTCATCTCAGCTCTGTATGATCAGGAGCCTTGCTTCTACTTATCCTTTGTAACTAATTTTAAGTCATTCCTTGAGGCAGATTATTTTTTCACTCCAAACCTTAGTTTCCCCACCCATTCAAAAGGAGGCTTGGTCCATTGAGTTCCAAGATTCTCTTGGAGGGAATCTAGCCTTATGAAGACTAGGCATTTGGGTATGTTGGAAGAATTGCCTTTTCCAATGTAATTTTGTATTTGTGGCTTATTTTTGTGACTGATTGGATCAGATAGTGACTCTCTATTGCCCCATAAATAAAATACTTCACCATGGCTTAAAAAAATAATAATAACATTCCAACAATAAATTGTAGTTACCATTGCTCTGGAAATCCTAAACATTCATGTTTTTATTCTTTCAATGTTCATGGAAACGCATATTATTGAATGAGAGGAACACTTTCTTGGATGGCATACAAAATAATTTCTGTCTGACAAACAATACTTTACTCTTCAGACCAGAATTCAGTAAATCAAGTCTCTCTTTTTTTTTTAGGAATCTATATAATGTCATTGATTTTAAGAAATCTTTGGAATATTTTATTTTAGCAAATATGTATTGCTTAACTATACACTTGATCTCTAATATGAATATACTAGAGGCTTGGTGCACGAAATTCGTGCATGGAGTGGAGGTTCCCTCAGCCCAGCCTGCACCCACTCCAATTGGGGACTCTTTGGGGGATGTCCACTGGCTTCTAACTGCTCACCTGCCTGCCTGCCTGCCTGCCTGATCACCCCTAACTGCCCTCCCCTGCTGGCATGGTTGCCCCCAACTGCCTCTGCCTGCCTGCCTGATCACCCCTAACTGACCTACCCTGCCGACTCCTTTGCCCCCAACTGCCCTCCCCTGCTGGCCTGACCTCGCCCCCAATGGCCCTCCCCTGCCGGCCTGATCTCACCCTCAACTGCCTTCCCCTGACGGACTGATCTTGCCCCCAACTTCCCTCCCTGCCGGCCTGATCTTGCCCTGAACTGCCTTCCCCAGCCTGCCTGGTTGCCCCCAACTGCCCTCCCCTGCCAGCCTGATCTTTTGCCCAAATGCCCTCCTCTGCTAACCTGATTGCCTCTAACCCCCTGCCACCCTGATCTCACCCCAACTGCCCTCCCCTGCTGGCCTGATCACCCCTAACTGCCTCTGCCTTGGCTCCCACCACCATGGCTTTGTCCAGAAGGAAGTCAGACATTTGGAAGATGGCAGGCCAACCTGGTCTAATTAGCATATTACCCTTTTATTAGTATAGATAGATTATATAGAATAGGATTGCTTAAATGGGGGAGGGAGCCTTTTTCAGCAGGAGGAGATTCTCTTTGCAGACAAAAACACATAATTCCTATATCTGGACTGATAGCCAGCCATATGCACTATACTGCCAAATTGGTCATTAAAAACTTGAACCACTTTCTTACACCTTGCACCAAACACCTGTTGCCTTTAAAACCCATTCTCAGCCCCCAACTTAGGTTCTGCCTTCACAGTTCACCCAGATTAGGTTCTGATTGGTTGATTTCTATGCTGGTCAGCATCAAAAGTTCCAGCTCCTAGGCAGCCATTGGCTCCTCGCACTTCATCCAGATTTAGTTCTGATTGGTTGGTTTCTATGCCAGTTTGCATCTCCTGGCCTATCTCTGGGCCTGATCAGAGAGGCGGGGCTGATCAGCAGCCCTGAGGAGGCCTGGAGAGAAACAGAGGCACTGCTGCTGGCAAAGCCCAGAGAGAAAGGCAAAGGCTAATCAACAGCTGCCATGGAGGCTGCAGCTCAGAACCTGCCTCTCTCTGAGCCTGATCCTTAGCCCCCTGGGCAGACACTGCTGGGTCACCACACCCGCAGCAGTGGCAGTCAGGACTGATTTCTGGTCGGTCAAGCCTTCAGTGGTTTCGGACCCTGGGTTTTTATATATTAGGATATTTTGTTATTTTCAGTCCATTTTACTCTCAATGTAGCTAGTAAGTGCCATCAATTTATTTTATTTTATTTTATTAGATTAGATTGAACTATTTTTTTGAAATCATTTTATGTAAAATTTTCATTCTAGGAATTTGGATACAGTTTTGTACCCTGGCACAATGCCTGCCTGCTGTTGTATTGTCTATATCTTTCACCCTAATCCCTTGTTCTCTAATCTTGTATGTTACTGTTATTGAACATGATTATATGTTAGCACTTGTTATTAAAGTTATCTCTGTATATGCTTTTCTCCCCACTGTATTGTAAGCTCCTCCAGGGCAAGGATTATGTCTCATTTCTCTTTGTACTCCCAGAACCTGGCACAATACCTGAGACTTGATGAACATTTGTTGAACTGATTGGAGCTGGATATGAATTGTATGGACTATTTCCAAGTTCTTTTAAGTGCTATAGGTATATTTATCAAGAAGAGGAAAGGGGCCTGGCTGGTGTTGCTCAGTGGTTGAGTATCAGCCTATGAACCAGGAGGTCATTGATCCATTCCCACTCAGGGCACATACTTGGGTTGCGGGCTTGATCCTCAGTATGAGATGTGCAGGAGGCAGCCGATCAATGATTCTCTTTCAAATCATTGATGTTTCTCTTTCTTTCCCTTCCTTTTTGAAATCAGTAAAAAATATGTATTTAAAAAAGAAAAGGGGATTGCTAGACTGATTGCTATTGCTAGTTTTAAATATATGAAAAGCTGAACAACAACAAAAAAAAAAGATGCTAAACTAATTCAATATTGTCCCAGAAAGCAGAGCTGGTTCTGATGGGTCCACAGCTAGTTTGGGTGCATTTGGAATACCTTTGTAACTAAGCTGTGTAATAATGGGAACGACCCACACTCTTTGAAAATGCTCCTTATCCCTGAAAACATTCAAACAGAGCTGGTTGATTAAATCTCAGAATGTCCTAGGAAGAATTCCTGCATTGGTGGCAGATAAATAATCAGTTCTCCTGTCTCT